CACACACACACACACACACACACACACACACACACACACACACACACTATACGGCTCTCGCTTTAATGTAAAAGCAGAGGTGGGGGAAAGAAAAGAAAGTGGTGTCGAGCTGTCTTCCATCATTGAGTCTCATGTCAAAGTGAAGCAGAGAACAATATTGTGTGCTGAGCTTTCACGCAACATGACTGACAACCGGGGGGGGGGGGGGGTTACTCTGAAACGCACTGCTCATATTCACTCGCGATCCACTGGCTTCTCTCACTGAGGGCCAAGCGTGATGCACGAGAATCGGAGCTTCTCTTCTTTCATGTTTTTTTTATGCCATTTCCTCGCTGTCTGGCAAAAAAAAAAAAAAAACCACGGCAGTGAAAATAGGATGCAGATCAACAGGGAATCCGGTACAGCGGAATTTCCTTTTCGAAACAAAGCACAATCTGTAAGCGTCCGTGTTTTTGTGCCCCGGGATCCACTGAGGATGACACAATTCGTGGATGTCACATGCGACGTGTGTCATATCACACCGTCAGATCAAGAAGGAAAAGATGGCAGTGTGGGAGAAGTTAAAATGTGTGTCATAGATCTCTGGATTTCTAAAAATCTGTATTTGTGAGTGGAGCCAAAGCTGTTGAAATGTACACTGGCCTAACTGCTGTAGTTCACTGCGCTGCATCTTCATATTGCACCTTTTCTATTACATTTCTGTGGCGGTGGCCCTGCAAGCCTCTCCGCGCTCTCAAGTTGTTCTTTTCCAACCTTTTCATGGTCCTCCCATCTCTCCCTGTTTATTTTTCTCGCTTTCCCCCCCACCCCTCCTCCTTTTTCTATCTCTCTCTCTCTGTGGCCCAGATGTGGGTGAGAAAAAAAACAAACTCCACTCTTGAAAACAGAGAAAGACCTGTTACAATGTGTCATCCCGTGGCCAGACTGGGATTAGATTCTGCTCGGGCCAGCAGGATCACAATACGGTGCCGTGCATCTTGGGGGCTGTGGCATTAGAGCTGCTAATGAATGAAAGCGCTGGGAAGAGTCGGCAAAGAAACGGATAAGAAGACAGTAGCGATTCAGGGATGCAGCCAGGAAAGGCCGAGGCGGAGTGCATCCTCTGGGAGCCTGTTACACCCTGCCGGGGTCCCCCGGGGTCAGAGCACAGGGCAATTAGATCAGACATCAATGAATGATGGAGGGGGTGGGGGGAGATGGAGAGAGAGTACAGCGGGAAACAGAGGGTAAACCTCTATACAGTAGCGAAGGGTTAAACAGAGACAGGGGGGGGTTACATCATGGGTGTGTGAGATCTAAGGAAACAAGGGAGGAAAAGAGGAAAGGGTAAAAGGCCATTAATAAGGCCAGAGGGAGGCGATGTGAGAGGACGGAGGAGACAGCGGGTGGGACGAGGGAGGCCGGAGCAGCGGCGTCGGGAATGCGCTGGCTAAGGCACGGATCACGCCACATGAGAGGCCTTTTCGAGAAGCAACAAGCTCCCACCCACCTCCACTCGATCCCCACGGCTGACATGAATTAGTGATCTGCTCGCTTTCAATAATGTACAGTGCCGGTGACAAAAGCGGCAGTTGGACACGGTGCGCATACTGAGCGTTAAGATGGGAGGCGATGCTGCGGGAGATAACGTCGAGAGGCGGATGCGGAGCGGAGAGCTGGTCGAACAGCGCGGCAAGGCGGTTGAGCTGGAGAGGGCAGGAATGGGAAGCGAAAGGTAGGATGAAGAGCAGGATGAGGAAATAAATGACACTTTGTAAGTTTGTAAAATACTTTTTTCAGAGAGAGGAAGGGGGAACATGAAAAAGGAGGAGCGGCGGTGAAGGTATGTCGGACGGAGGATTAGGGAAAAGAGGATATGCGAAGGGACTAATGAAGTGACGGAGAGAAATGTGGCGGATTCGAGGTGACGAAGTCAGGGACACATTGTGAGATGCCGGAGTAGAAATACGGTGGAGGAAGAAAAGCAAAGAGGAGAAGTGGCAGACAGGAGGATGTGTCAGTGACAAAAAGAAGTGCAGTGTAGAGAGGGTAGGAGGAGAGGAGGCAGACAGTACAAGATGACAAAAAATGAAGGGGAAGGTTAATTAGGATGATTTTGAGCAAAAGGAGAGAAATGAGCACGGCGAAGGAGACGAGGAGGAAGTGACGATGACGAGTGAATAAGTCTCTGCTACCACAGAGGGCAGAGGATGCTCTTATAAATATCACAGATGCATAGAAAATGTTATAGTTATGTGGCGAGCAAACATATACAACTCAAGGCTTTTTTCCCCCAATAAAACAGTCTCCGTGACAACTAAGGCCCGCACGTTAGACGGCAGGCGGGAGGAGAGCGAGGACCATCAGGGGTCAGCGTGTGTTTTGGCTCACCGTCACCACGCTGTCGGCACAAACAGCCGGAGGTGAACAATAAAGCTGTCACTCCCTCTCTCCATCTCGCTCTCACAGGCTCGGACTAACAAAATCAAACTTTTGGTTCGGTTCTTGACACGTCTGGGATTGGAGGGAATTTCTCTTCCTTAAACATAAACTCTGCACACATTTTTACATCTAAATTGAATCAGTGCAGCCACACAACTGGACCTTGAGGGCTTTGCTTAACCCTAGAACGTATTTTATGTGTAATTGTGTTTTCCTGCCAGCCAGATGATGCTGCCTGCCAAGGAATTTAGCCTTTGTTGGACTTTGATGGAGACTGAATTTAAGTCTTTGACTTGAATGAGAGAAAAAGGGTTTTTACATAATATCCAAGATAACATTTTACCTGGAACTCAAAGTACCACTTAAATGACCTCGCTGAAACAGAGAGGAGCAGATGCAGCTATATATATTTTCATTAGCATCAGGAGAAGAACAAAAAAAAAAGAAAAATACAGTAATTTGCGTTGCTGATACATAATTGCTCTTCCTTTGGAGTTTAGAAGAAGAAAAACTCAATTATTTTGCTTTGAAACCATGGTAACCGCACGGATACATCTTGTGACCAAAGAAAGCATTTTCCAGGGTCTCCACGTGTAGATGAGGCCCGGAGGTACGGCGAGCTAAGTAGTGTTTATCAAGGTGGAAATGCCACGGACTGGTGGATGTTTTTGTCCATTTTTATTTCCCAGAATTAAATTCGCTCCTGGACCACACTTGGCCGACCTCTGCTCTTTACGGTGTGTATTAGCTCACTGGAATCTACTTTAGAAGCTGCTGTGGCCCAATTACTGCTCATCCCTTAGTGCCAATGACATGAACATAGGTCATCTTATGAAAAATGTTATTTATGTGCACCGAGTAGCATCAGGGTTAAGAGCTTTTTTGTTTTTTATAACTCAGATATAAGCTCCTAAATGGAGAAAAATAAACGTTAGACCAGCATTATCAGTGGGTTTAAATCCGTATACTGAAGGTTAGGAAAGCGGACTTTCTAGTCAAGGCAAAAGTAGTGATATACAGAGTTTTCACCTTCATCCCAACAGCAAGGAGCTCTCGTGAGTCATCAACACCTCCGAAAACAAGTGACGTCTTTTAAAAACTTCACTTTGACTTGACCAGTGTTTAAAGAAAGGATAAGCACGGAGAAGCAGAATACTGCTTCTATCTGAGCTCTATACCCCTACAGGACAACTGCCCCTGTACTCTGTTGGTGTGTGTGTGTGTGTGTGTGTGTGTGTGCGTGTGTGTTGTTGTACAACCACAGGTTACACCTTGACAAAGCCCGGCGATCATCCCTTAATCCCAGCTCACCGTTTGATGAAAAAGGGAATCTCTTCTCTGAGCTTGTTGCCATGGACATACTTTTAATTAGAAACCATTTGATGAATATTTGAGATGAATATTGTGCATTGTGTGCCAATTTCGTTTTTTGTTTTCTCGTTCTGTTTATTGAGTTATTTCATGTGTGTGACTGGCATCCTGATACAGAACTAAAATAGTCTAAATCCAAACTCCAGAGTACTGGCTGGTGTTGTCAGAATCAAATATGCTGTTAGCATTAACATCCATCTATAGAAGATAGACTCAGTATTCACTTTAATGTACTCTCTGCATTTCAGCATGTTTTTCCTTACTGTATATTAATGCATCACTGGCCACGTCCAGTGGTGTGTCAATTTCTCTCATTAAACTGCTCATAAGAGACTTCCAACCACCTTGAGGAACTATTTCCACACAACTGGAAGGCTCAACCAGGAGATGTGGGACAAGAAAGGAGGGACAAAGGGAGCGAGGGACGTTAACGCGGTGTGTGTGCGCGTGTTGTTTGCTCCCTGTGCGAAACGCGCTCCTGTCCCTCTCCGAGGGGAAGCTAATCTTCTTTTTTACGCCGCAGAGCCAGAGGTATCCGAGGAAGAATAGCTGCAATACTTGAGAGAAACGAGAGGGTCCATATTTATCACAAAGAGCGCAGACCGTCCTCCAGCCAAACAACATGTGTAGCGCTTCTCTTTAGCGAGCCCATCACAATGGAGGCGGGAACAAAGACGCTGCCGGGGAGAGTGGCTGTAGGTAGGCACGCCAGCACGGCGCTGACCAACACGAGGCCCCGTCTCATCCCGCTCCTCACACGGCCCACAATTACACGGCTGTCTAGCCACACAAAAGGAGCAGGGAAATAGAAATGGATGATTTTCGAGAGAAGGGGGGGAGAAAGTAAGCATGAAATGTATAAAGAAAAGCGGTTGAAGGTCTAGGGAGAGGTTGAAAACATAAAAGGAGGAGGAGGAGGAGGCAGCAG